GGGATTATAGGTATAAGCCACTATGCCTGGCTTGTTGTCATTATTTATTGTCCTTCTGTCTTCTCCCCATAAGACTCTAAGTTCCATAAAGACAGTAACCTTCTCTATCTCATATTCCTCTGTTGGCTAGTGTCTAGACCTCAGTAGAGGGTCAATATAAATTTGCTAAATAATTAGGTGGATGAATAACTTCCCCCACTTCCCTTCTTCCATACACATGATTACCATTCTTTCAACTTCCATACACAAGTTAACATTCTTTCTATCAACTTTGAGGATTACTTTCTCAACCCTCCAATCTCTTTCTCCTTTATAAATGTGATATTTATCAGCAGTAATGATAATTGTTTACACATATATATGTATGTATGTGTATATATATGTATATGCCTCATTTAAAATTCTTTAATCCTGCTCTAAGAGTAGAACTGTATCCCCAACTTTTATGTACCTCTAATAAATGTTTTGCTTAATTTATGTCTGTAGTTAACCCAGAAATCCAATTGAGATAATAATTTCAAAACTTTTTATAATTCATCCCTCCTTTCCAAATAACTCAAAATAGAAAATGACCCCTTCATTTTCATGTCCTATTTTGAATTTATCTCTGGAAATTTCAAGTTTTACATTCTCATATAATTATATTTCATGATCATAATTTACTTTATCCACCACCCTCTACCAAGAATAAATTAAAAAAAAAAATTTAGGGCTAGGATTGTGGCTCAGCAGTAGAGAGCTCGCCTAGCACGGGCAGGACCCAGGTTCGATCCTCAGCCACCACATAAAATTAAAGGCATTGTGTTGTGTCCATCTACACCTAAAAAACTAAATATTTTTTTAAAAATTTTGGTTGTAGATGGACACAATGCCTTTATTTTGTTTATTTATTTATATGTGGGTGCTGTGGATTGAACCCAGTGCCTCACACGTGCTAGGCAAACACTCTACCACTGAGCTACAACCCCAGCTCCCCCAAGAATAATTTTTTAAAATTTTATTCACAATACCTTTATTTCACTCATTTATTTTTTACGTGGTGCTGAGGATCAAACCCAGGGTCTCATGCATGCAAGCACTCTACCACTGAGCCACAACCCCAGCCCCTCCCCCSCAAGAATAAATKTTTTATGTAATAAAAAATCTTATGAATTTTGAGTGGTACCTGTAATGAAGTTTCTATTCCTAATCTAGAAGGGGTGACGTTTCATTACTCCTTTCTTGTTGCTGAAGTATCAGAAGGTATTTTTCCATTTATGCCTATTTCCTTTCATACAAAGACATTCAGTTCCCTTTTTTCCTGGTCATACTCCTGGCAAGCTTTTTTATTTCTTTGTACCTMTCCTCAGTAATCTGCCTTAGATCCTCCTTTTGAGCCACTCTTGTTTCCTCCATTTATTTGATTAAATTTCTAACTAAGCCTGTTTCTTTAAGTCCACACATCTTTATGAACCTCCCTTCACACAGCTAAAACTTGATCATCTGGTCTCAGGAAACATAAAAATAGCATTATCCACAACAACAAAATCAAGGGAAAATGACATCTGGCTTTGGAATACATCATATGTAGCTTTGGGCAAGATTTACTTTCTTAATTAAGTTTTGGTTAAGCCAACATTAGAAAGATTTTCTTTTATGATGCTGGATATCTGACTCAGTTTCAAAATTTGATGCAGTTTTGTTTTGTTTTTTAAGGCCATTCAGGCATCAACCATGGTTTTTAACTTGGTCCTTCAATCTGTTAAAATCTTTCATAAAGTCTGTTTTCTGTTTCCCCCAACTTATCTCCTACTTCTCTTGGTATCCTGATCCAAATGGGTTTATATTAATTTACAAGTACCTTTTGCATGAGAACTCAAAGCATTTTAGAAACATTGAATCCAGTGAAATTTTTAGTGCAGATAATACATGACAGAAAACTATTTCTACCAGATACTACAAGAAAATTTGGATTTCTAGAGTAAATTCCACTGGTAATTCTAGCAAAAATATTTAGTAGGATTTTATGATTAGTTAAAAACAGAAAAACTTTAATACTGAACAGGTATACAAATCTATATCATCAATATATTAATCCCATATCTGAAAACTCTACTAACTTAAATTCCCCAGTGGGGCTGGGGCTATAGCTCAGCAGTAGAGCGCTTGCCTCATACATTCAAGGCACTGAGTTCAATCCTTAGCACCACATAAAAATAAATAAAGATTAAAAATAGAAGAAAAAAACATGTAAATCTTTCTTTAAAAAAATAAATAAATTCACCAGGCCAGGCATGGTGGCACATGCAAGTAATCCCAGTAACTCAAGAGGCTGAGGCAGGAGGATTCCAAGTTCAAAACAGCTTCAGCAACTTAGCAAGACCCTATCTCTAAATAAAATACAAAAAAGAGCTTGAGATGTGGCTCAGTGGTTAAGTGCCCCTGGGGTTCAATCCCCAGTACCAAAAAGAAAAAGAAATTAAATCCCTCAATACACATACATATAGAAAATAGCTTCAAAACAAACATCAATCCTTCCTCTTCACTGGGAATGTCACTCAGTGGGAGAGTGCTTGCCTGGCATGTGTAAGGCCCTGGGTTTGATCCCAGCACTATAACAAACAAAAATAAAGAATCCTGTCCCTTCTCCTAAACTCAGGCTAAAGTCCAAAGCTTCTCAGATCTACTCAATTTTTTGGAGGGTTGGGAAGACTGAGGATTGAACCCAGGGCCTCACTAAACCCCCAGTCTACCTACTACTCTTAAACGCTGATCTTAGCTCCACTTCTACTCCCAACCATGCCACAAATAATTTTTGAGTGGATAAGCAAAAGGAAAAGAATGGGGTTAACAGAATTTTCTCTTTTGCCCCCTTCTCTGTTTATGCCATTAAGCTTTTGGCCAAAGAGACTTAAAACCCCCAAATTCACATTGACTATTTTTATTTTATAGAACTCAATTACATTCACCAAGCTAAGCCAAAGGACACAGACTTCCCAAAATGAAGAGGGAGCAAAAGTRAATGATTCTGTAGTTCTGTTCCTTGCCCCTTCCATAATTATGCACTAACTGAAATACTTGAATAAAATAAGTACAATTTTAAGCCAAATCAGATATTTTACTTTGAATTGCTGACATATCAGAAGTTAAAACTAAAAAAAATTTAAATATCGTTACCACAATTTACACTTTTTTCCACATATCTGAATATAGTTTTATAGCATTTGAACAACTTATTCATCATTACTACGATTCAAAATAATCTCTCTTCTATTTTTCCTACCTAAAAATGAACTCAGCTGGGGTTATTTGGCCCAAATTTTTACATAAGTTGCTAAATGTTAACAAAAAAATTAAACAGCAACTTTCCACAATGTCTTCAGTCAGTAAATTCCACAGCTTATTTTTAAACAAAGACAAAAACTTGCCCAGTGTCTAGTCACATTGTGAATAAAATACAGTCATAAATTCTTAGTTTTTCAATTTACTTCTCTAGGCTGCTGTCTTCACCAAATAAAGAATTCCACAAGCTTTAATTAATTTCAGCTTCCCAAACTGTGTCCATCAATATATGATTCCCAAGGAAAAGTAAATAATTAAAAAATTATTAACTCAACTGGCAAATATCCCTTTCTTCTTTTACCTTACTTTTAACGTTTCTTTTCTTGATGTAAACAGTGTAACTTTTAAGGAAAAAGCTGTCACCTACAGGTATTATCAGCATCATAGCATGGCAAAAAAAAAAAAAACTGACAATCTCAGATCCCCAAATGGTAGTCACCAAGGTCTTTCACGAATAGTAAATTCTCATATATTCTCTCTCTCTCTCTCTCTCTCTCTCTCTCTCTCTCTCTCTCTCTCTCTCTCTCACACACACACACACACACACACACACACACACACACACACCCGGAAAGACAAGAAAGAAACATACCTGGTCATTTTCTAAACAGGTTTGATAGGTTTGGTTCACTTTTAAGAGCAGAGTATTTATTTATAATCTTTTAAAGCAAAGTGGCAGCCACGGCACTGAGTAAATAAAAACTTCAGAGAGTTTTAAAACCCTGCATCTTAACTCACTTCCCCTTGGTTCAAGGGAACGGAACAGCAAGCCCCACAGCAAATGAGATTATGCAACAGGTTTTTCCTCTCCACCTTATTCATCATAGGCTGATTAGAGGTGTGCTTTCTCCAAACAATCCGAGATACCCAGGACTTCAAAAAGTCAAGGATCTTTGCAGTCGACGTTTAATAAGCTTCCTTCGGATTTTGCAGTATCCATTCATTTTAAGATCTACCTCTATTTCCTCAGGTTCATAACCGGCTTCCTTTAGGAAATAAATGCAGCATCGGAAAACTAAGGTTTTGCATATATATTTTCCTCTGTGGTATTTTATCACATGAAACACATGATACACACATCCTCAGCCGTGGCTGGGCTTTTTTTTCCTCACGTTTTATGGCTAGTATAAATTAGGAAGTCTGGAGCACCGGAGTCGCCAACGCCATGACCGAGCCCCAGCAGCAAAGTTGAGGGGTTCTTGTTTGTGCTGTTAGTTGGCTGAGTTTAAGGGAGCAGCACATCACCACCCAGGTGGCCTCTCTGCCTAYATTAAAGGCGAATTCGGGATAATGGGAAGAGGCAGGCCGGGGCCCCACTTGGCAGGCGTGTTGTGTAACATTCGCGCCTGGAAGTGAGCAGCTTCGCCCGCGAAGGTGCCGCGTCCCAGGCGGCAGTCGCTCTCGGCCGGGCCGGCCCGAGCCCGCACGCACCTCCTGCCCGGCCTCCCGGCGAGGCCTGCACCCCCCGCTTCGGAACGGCTGCCGTCGCCCCCCCCCCGCCCCCCCCCCCCCAGAGCGCGGCTGGGACTCCGGAGTCCGCAGAGTCGCGAAGGCAGGGCCGGCGGGGCGCGAGCGCGGCGCCCGGCACACGGGGTCTGGGCGCGCCGCGGAGCGTCCATGCTGCCCCGCACCCTCCCGACCCGCGCGCGCTCCCCGCGCCGCCCTCCGAGGCCACTTACTTCTGGGGCCGCCGACCCCCCGACTCCCTCTGAGGGAATCGAAAGTTGTCACGGCGYCTCCTCTCCGGGCCCTCGGCTCCCGGGCTAGTTAGGGGCCGCCGCGGAGCCCGGAGGGCGGCTGCGCTCCCGCTGGCGTCCCGTCCCGTCGCTCTCGCCTCCTCCTCTTCTTTTCACTATATTATCTTCTCCTTCTCTGAGGGGTGGGCGGGGGCGGGAGGCTTAGGAAGAGGAGACGTTTGCAACTTTTCTTCACTCTTTCTCTTCCACCCCCCCCCCAATCAAGACTTCCAAAAACAAATGTCGAAATGAGTGAAGAAYTTGGGGAGGTAAAGGTGGGGGCCGCGTGGGGAAAGCCGAGGGGGGAGGGAGAGGTGAGAATAATCGTTAAAATTTGATTAAAGCCCCCCAAACAGTGATACACAGAAAGAGGGGGAAAGGCGGGGGGGTGGGGTGGGGGGTTGGGGAAAAGAGAAAGAGTCGCTGGTCAGGAAACTTCAAGCGCGGATGAGGTCATTGGTTTAAAAATAAAGGGATGGCGTCACTTGAAACCAATCCCAGTGAATGAACTCAGCGGAGCCCCGGGGAAAGGAGGAGACAGGCGAGGGCAGGGCGGTGGGCGCCGGGCGGGGCCGCGCGCCGCCCGCCCGCCCATCCCGCGGCCGCCCGAGCCCGCTGCGCGGCTGGACGCGGCGTTTCGGCAGCTCGGGGAGGGGTCGGGTCACGTTCCCTTCCAGAGTTCGGCGACTCGGAGGCAGGTTCYGCAGGCGCTGCTGGGAGGAGCCCGGCTGCCCGCGGAAGCGGCCCCGCGGCCTCCTCCTCCTTCCGCGCCCGCGCGCCTGCTGCCCCGGGCTCGCGTCCCSGGACCCCGAGCTAAGGTCCCTACCCGCCCCCTCCAGCGCGGCGCCTCAACAGGTTCTGGAGGCTTCCCCCACCCGAACGCAGAACTTTTTCCTTCTCCTTAGATTGTTTTCAGCTGCCTCACTAAGAAACGCAAACGATAATTTGAGAGAATTACAATAGTTTTTTTTTTTTTTTTTTAAATCCGAATCCAAACTGCAGTGCCCTGCATTAAAAAGTTACAGGTAGGTACTTAAAAAAACTGCACACTAGTGTTGTCAGGCACTGAACTATYTGTATGCTGTCATTAAAAGCCCCTGCATGAATGTTCCTAAATTATTTTACTTTGGTTATATTTGCAATATAATAAGTAAAAGTATCCTAAAATTCTCCTTAAATATATTTTATATATCGGGCTGCACAGAATCATCTTTAAATCACATAAGGGATTCTCTGCTTTCTTGGGTGGTGCAAGACCTCTGTTGATTTAACTCCAGGTACCTCATGCTTTTTAAAATTTGAACTCATTACAATAGCTTTGTTTTTGAGACATTACATAGGCTTTGGAAAACTAGAGACTTGAGGTGGTGACAAATCAGGACTTGGAATCACTGAATAGGACAATCAAAGCTTTATTCCAGTGTGCTTTGAGCATCTGAACATGAAGCTGCTTCTACTGAGAAGGGCTCACGTGGATATCACATAACAGGGATGTGATTAATGACGGAAAAGCACACTGTGAGTGGACTGCTCCATGAGCCAGAATTTATGTGTAGGAATAATCTAGCTCCGTTGGCAATGTCCCAGAGTAGGGACACTGGCCCCTCAAGGCACTGTTTGTTGAGGGATATTTATGTGGACGTTGCCTAAGGGAGTTTTTTAATTGGCAAAAGAACTAAAAAGCAGGTTTGGGTTGGAAAGATAATACATCTCTGTTACTACTTTTCTGCCTCTAAATCCTGCAACAAAAGTGTATTCACTGTGACTGGTAGTCATTTAAGGTTAGCATTAGGGAGTAAGTTCCTGGGTACTTCCGGCTCACCTTTTAGAGGAGGAAAAGGAGATAGCTGGACACTTTCAGGTCAGGCTGTAGGTGAATCCTGAAGACCACAGTTGCAGACCCAACTTTCAGGCAGTGCTTTTGACCTGCGACTTCTGCGGAGGGGAAGCTCTCTCTGCAACTTCTTGCTCCCTGTCCTCTGGTGGACAGGAGATGTTACTGCAGCTTCACGGGGATTACTTCTGTTCTACAAGTAAAGCCTAAAAATCTACTAACCATAAAGCTGCTGTTTTTAGAGCAGTTAAAGTGGGTAGTTGGAAAGGATATGCGTCTCAAATCTGCTTGGTTTGGCAGTGTTGGGATTTTTAGGAAGGAAGGAAAAGATAGTACTCATACTAGAGATGGAGAGCATGGATCTTGCCTGGATGAAAGGAAATTTTATGGTATAGTATGATTTATATGCCAAAGCACCAATAGCCTTGCTCTAAGTGACACATCTTGAAACTTCCACCACTTCCTAATTTATAGAGTTAAATTGAAGTGTCTTCCATGTATGTTTTGCTATGATAGCAATTCTGGAAGTGCATATTCTATAGGRAAAAAAAAAGATTAAAGCTAATTAAAAACTAAATTTAAAAAACTAAATCAATGATTAAGTGGCATTCAATAGTAATTAAAAGAGTCCAGAGGAAAGAGGTAATAATGAAGGGTTTTTAAGGGAAGATATCTTATAAAGAGCTTTGACCCATTCCTTGAGGGATAATTAAGACTTGTGGTGAAGGGGGGAAATGAAAGAACTGTTCTACCAGGGAAATGGCATGAGTAAAGTCATGGATGTGGAGTGAATAAGTTATGTTCACATGAGAGAGGAATAGACCCTCCAGTAGTAGAAGAAACTGGTATTAGCAATTAGATATAATGTCAAAGACATTCAGAGACACATTATAGAGGTATTTGAATGTTAGGAAAAATATTAGTCCAGCGAGTTAAAGGGAAAACACGGAACAAGCTTACTTTAATGAAAAGTACATTTCTTTTTGTTCTTTTTAATTTTTTTTTTAGTTGTAGATGGACACAATACCTTTATTTATTTATTTTTATTTGGTGCTGAGGATAGAACTCACTCCCTCGTGTGTCCTAGGAAAGCACTCTGCCACTAAGCTACAACCCCAGCCCATAATATTTAGTATCTAGACCCTCTTAAACTCTTAATCTACCCATGGCTGAAATTTACTTATTCATTTAACACAAACAGTGACTGAATGGCYACCACCTGTGTGTGTCCGGTAGATAGCTAGCTCTGGGAATGTGGTTATAAATAAGTCAAGGGAGGCCCTTTCCTTTGTGGAATTTACATTCTAGTGGTGAGAGAAGACAATAAGCAAATACACAAAAATCAATGACCAGAACTGTGACAAGATCAACTATCTAAGGAAGAAACTGGCTGATGTGGCTGAGAGTAGGGTGAAGGTGGTTGGGGAAGTTTAAATGAGGAGGGACATTTGAACTGAGGCCTGAAGGGTAGCAATCAGTGAAGTGGTCTGGGTGAGGAAAGAGGTCACTCAAAGACCCTTCACAAGAGACAGAGTGACCTGCAGAATTGGTGCATTCCTAAAGCCAAAGGTAGGCCAGTGGGGYTCAAATGTATAAAATGAAAGTGGGCAGGAGTCAGATTATGTAAAGCCTGATAGAGCATGGAGAGAAATTTGAATTCTGTTCTAAAAGATTTAAGCAGGTTAGTATGTGATTTATAAAGACGATATTGGCAAGTAAACATAATAGTTTTGAAGAGTTTTAATAAAAATCTAAAATATTACCCTTTTCATTTAGCAGTTTTCTTTTCCAGTAGGAAGGAAACTTTTTTTTTTTTATTAAACTCCACAGATCCCTTTTAATGTCCCCAATAAAGGTCTGTTAGCCAAAGATTCATGGATTCTTAGGGAGTGCACGGATGGACTTCCAATGGTCCAGGAGTTCCTTGAAGTTTTATGTATATATGCTTGTGTGTGTTTCTCTGTGAGTTTGTCCCTAGCTTTCAACAGATTTTCAAAGGATTTTTTCACACAAAAAAGTGAGACCCACTTCACATTTATGTCTTAGGTGTGCTTTTTGAAGAGTGGTCCCTGCTCTTGTCTTAGGGTTCATGGCACTGTACAAACAAATTACATTTCTGGAAAGAAGGAAGTTCTGTCTCAAGAGATGGCAGTATGATGGAGGAGGGCAGTATTTGCAGGAGAAAAGGAGAGAATTTCTAAGTTTGTCACTAACAGAACTTGACAAAAATATTTTTTCCACCTGTGTAGTGAGAGAAGTAGAAGAGACCTATGACAATATCTGAGATCAATCCACTCACTTTACATATAAGAAAGTGAAGATCCAGAGAGGTTATGTGGCTTGCCCAAGACTACACAGCCAGTTAGGGATCAACCTTGAATTATAAATAGGTCTCCCAGCTATCAATATCAGACTCTATAATCCTAATCTAAAGATTTATAAAGAAACTGGATCTAATATTGATCTTGATATTTGCTTAGCATGCACCAACCCCAGAGTTCCACCAAAGAGAGAGAGCTTAAAAGTTTACTAGGAATTAGAGTTGAATTTTATTCAATTCAATTACACAAATACTCATTCCTAAGGAATTAGAAGGAAAGAGGGAAATAAAAGTTTTCAAAAATTTGCAACATTAGCCAGGGTAGTGGTGCACACCTGTATTCCCAGCCCCTGGGAAGGATGAAACAGGAGGATTGCAAATTCAAAGCAGCTTAGTGAGATCCTAAACAACTGAGCAAGACCCTGTCTCTAAATAAAATATAAAAAGTGCCTGGGGAGGGCTGGGATTGTGGCTCAGTGGCAGAGTACTTGCCTCTCACGTGTGAGGCACTGGGTTTAACCCTTAGCACCACATAAAATAAATGAATAAAAAAATAAATGTATTGTGTCCATCTATAATTAAAAAAAATATTTTAAAAAGCTGGGGAAGGATGGGGATGTGGCTCAGTGGTAAAGTGCCTTTGGGTTCAACCCCTGATACCAAAAAAGAAAAGTGAAAGATTTCATCCCTGAAAGAGATGAAAAACATCAATGTAAAGATGCACAACCAGCCACCAGGAACAGTGGGGCCGGCCTATAATTTCAGTGGATTCAGGGCCTGACACAGGAGCATCATAAGTCCAATGCCAATTTAGCAAGGCCCTCACCAACTAAGTGAGACTCTGTCTCAAAATAAAAAGGGCCGAGGAAATAGCTTAATGGTAAAGGGCCCCTGGGTTCCATATTCAGTGCATCCCCACCAAAAAAAAAAAAAAAAAAAAAAAAAGCACAAGCAGCCTTTTCTCCAAGATGTTGCAGAAAGAAAAAAAAAAAGGAAGTTCCTCTCTTTCCCAAAACCAAAGCCAAGGCTTTGAAGGCCAAGAAGACAATGATAAAAGGAGTGCACAGCCACACAATAAAAAAAAAAGACCCACATGTCACCCACCCTCCAGTTCCCTGAGACAGCAGTTCTGGAGGCAGCTCAAATACCCCCAGAAGAGTGCCCCTGGGAGAAACAAGCTTAACTACTATGCCATCAAGTTCCCCTGACCACTGAGTCTGCTGTGA